TGTGTCTGAGCAAGTACGTGGATCCGTCGAGTGAAGAGAGCCATAGATACTATCTTGCTCGGCGGAATGCATTACAGATGCTCCGAGACAGAGGCTACGAAGTATCCTCCGAAGATATCAATCTCTCCCTTCACGATTTTCGAACGGTTTACGGCGAACGTCCCGAAGTAGACCGTCTCCGTATCTCCGCTCAGCATAAATCCGATTCTACCAAAAAGGTATATTATATACATCTTTTTCGCATTTTCGATTTCTAGAGTTTTTTTTTGCATTTGCATGTTGGGGGTTTTACTGTTTGGCTGCGAAGAAAGTGAAGGAGATCCAAAATCCGGAATATTTTCGTTGATTATCTTCGAATTGAAGTTAAAATTGCCTGTTTTTGTGGATTTGGCTGACTAATTTGGATTTAGTTTGGTTTATGATGAATCTGTAGAGCCTAATTACGGTAATGTCATCATTGTTTCCGGATGATACAACAACTACTGCTACTATGGCCATTATCAAGTAGTATGCCTTAATGTGTTTGTCTTCTCAATCTTTGTAATGTGAAATTTTTTTATGGTAAAAAGTGCTCTGCATCGGGATATCAAGCATAATGACAATATGTTGCGACTGAGTGCTTGAGTGATCTCTACGCTCTTTGGGGCATGGTCAAATGTGTGAGTTGTGATAGGTAGAAGTCCCTGTGTGATTGTAGAATGAGATCAAACTGCGAAAGATCGGTTAAATTGATATTTTTGTTGTTGAAAGTTTTATCCTTTTTTGTTGGTTGGTTGATTCCGTTTCATATGGGCACTGATTTGGGATGCTCATGGGCCTGCTTTCACAACTCGTAGGAACCGCCATTATTTTATGAAAATTGGCAGGTGGTTGCTTATGCCTTTGGTTTCTTTCGTAACAGCAGATTTCATGTATATTGTTACAGATTCTCAGTTACTTATGACTGGCTTCTGTTCTCAACTCATGATGCTTCTTGTATCAGCTCTAGTCTTATGGCATAAGGACAGATATCTCGTAGTGCTCCTCAGGATATAATATGAGTGTGTTATTGGTTTTAAAGGATCTGGTTCCTACCGTTTTCTGATTTTTGGATTTTCAGGTAAAGGTTGTTTTTTGTGGCCCTGGTATGGTTAAAGTCAACGCTATCCGCAGTATTGCAGCGGATGTAATTAGCCAAGAAACCATAACCGGGCTAATATTGGTTTTGCAAAGCCACGTAACCAATCAAGCTTTGAAAGCTATCGAACTGTTTTCTTTCAAAGTCGAGATATTCCAGGTATATATACTATATATTTCTTCCTAATGTAATTTGTGTTGCTACAACTTCATATATGTAACATCTAATTGCCTTCTTCCTGTTTTGTTAAGATAACCGACTTCCTAGTCAACATAACCAACCATGTACTAAAGCCGCGGCATCAAGTTCTGAATGATAAAGAGAAGACAGCACTTCTCAAGAAGTTCAGTATCGAGGAAAAACAGGTACAGTATTCATTCCTTGGAGCTTAAAACTTGGCTGATATCAATCAACTCGATCTTCTCAACTTTTCTATGGTTTAACTGTTCTTTTGAAAACAAATATTTGACAGCTTCCTAGGATTTCAAAGAAAGACGCGATCATAAGGTACTACGGATTAGAGAAAGGGCAAGTTGTGAAGGTGAATTACAGAGGCGAACTCACCGAGTCGCATGTTGCCTACCGATGTGTGTGGTAAAGTGAAACCAATCAGTCGATCTTTGATAAAAAAAAACCCATCTCGTGTACTTATTTTGAGCAGAACTTCTAAGATACTTCTTAGGTTTTACTTTTCACTTTCAGTATCAAAGATCCTTTGCTTTAAACCCAAGATTATAGCTAAAACAAGAAAAAACCTAAAGAAGATCCTTTGCTTGTTCTTGACATTGTTTACCATTTATGTCTGTCCTTACAAACCTTACGAAGGACAGTTTCTTTACGTTGTTATCGAAACACAAAAAGCCCATGGTGACTCCACCATTACTTCAGAGGTTCGGGGACGATCAAAGCTCGTTGATGGATAGGTTCGAGCGGTTTTCTTTCGAAGCTCACCTCAACAATGCCTTGCTTGGTCGGAGCCTATCCGAGTCCGGTTTCTCTTCATTGTACAGCGCGGTCTTCGATGACTCATCTCCAATACGTACGGTGGCAGCGGTACCGGCATGCCAAGGCCGAAGAGGATTAGGTCTGAATAAGATATTGAAAAATCTGATGAAACCAATTAGATACTGTAACAGAAGAATCGGCAGAGGAAGAAAGAAACAAGAAGAGACGTTTGATTTAGATGCTCGGAGTTTTAAGAAATGGCAAACTTTCAGCAAATCTGTCAGATTATCTTGAGTTCTTTTACTTTTTAGTTATGTTTCATCAAATGTTATAATTTCCGATAAATTATGGTTTTAACTTTTAAGTGGGTAAATTTGTATAGTTCTTTTGATAGGGAGATTAGCTAGAATAACCTACTTTTTTTTTTAAATAGCTAGTGTTTTTTAGTGTTTTCAATATATTTTTATTATTTAATGCTAATATATTTTAAATTTTAAAAAATTATTGAAACACTATTGGTTAAATTTTTTTAAAAACTGTTTATTGTGAAATTAATATATAGTTATGATAGAAGATTAATTATTCTTCTTAATATGTGCAAAAAATTTATTTTGTTAGAACAGAAGGAGTATGATTGTTTTGTATTAACCATTTATCATTTGGGTCAAAGAAAAAAAAAAATTAAAATACTAACCAAAAAATCTAGATCCAATAGACATGATTTTGC